GTCCTCTTCTGATAGTCTGCTTATACAAGTGTTTGTAGGCTCTAAATGAATCGGCATTGTAGCAGACTGTTTGGTGTCAGCCACTGAACAGCTATAGGATTTGGGGTCACAGCTTTTCTTCATCATGGACTCATAGCTGGTTTTGAATGTGGATCCCAGAGCTCAAATATTTTGGTGCCATCACCAGCCACCCGATTGCAATTCTTGATCCTTTGGTTAAATACAAGCAGACAAATTTCTGATCCACCTCAGCGCACAATGGTGTCTCCTTGGTTTTTGCATTCATTTCCCAAGAGTGAATAAATCATTTCTAAGCACCCGTTCCCAGGGAAGAAGTTGATTTCTTCCTACTATGTCCATGATGAACAAGGATACTCACATTATTTCTTATTATTTGGGTGCACACAGTGTGCACTTCACTTTGAAGCATGAAAGTATTATTTATCTTTTGCTGCTCTAAGGAGTGGCTACACACAGTACACTTTGTGGGCATTGTTGCCTGTTTAATGTTCAAACAAAAAAAAAAAAGTTAGTTTCTTTGTGTGACTGCGCTGCACTGAGTTGCCTGCTGGGAGTTGGGCTCCTGTGTGGTGGATGGGGTGTGTGCACATAAAGAGCACATGGTGACACGGCTCCAAACAGCCACTGAATGAGGCTCTTGGGGCCACCCTGAATTTTTATTGGGAGACTGTTGAGTTAATTTGCTTCGGACCTTTGGGAAACTGTAGAGCTCAGAACTGAGTCTCCAAGTGATAATTCAACACCATCCTCACCAGATGTCCCTTTTGCACAGGTCAGCTAGTTGCTGTGTGCCATGGAGCAACCACAGCCTATCTATACTTGAGTATTCTTGCTGGCCATGGTCAGGTAGGCACAGTTGCTTGGAAGTCACTTCACAGGGATATCCAGGATACTAGACAAGGAAGGTGCTTGAGCATGAGGTATGATAACTAAGACATGGCAGCAGCAGAGATTCATCTGCGTCCACCTGGGGAAGGACTTTCCACTCTGCAGGGAAAGGAGGACCAGTGTCTGTAGCTGCAGAGCAAGGAGAGGGGCCTGGAAAGTGTCCAGTAGGCATGGTTCTAGGGTGCTCCTCCCAATCTCCCCTTCCAGGCCAGGCTTTGTGACAAGGGCTCTGCAGGTCCCACGTTTGTCTGAATGTGGCACCACGGAAATTTTAGTGCAACTCTAACTGGGGGTTTGTGACTGCTGTCACTGTAATTATCTGTCTGGTCAATAAAATGAAGGGTACTGAGTGCCGGCAGTTTGGGGGAATGAAGACTGACTTAATTACAGCAACCAAATCTCTCACATCTCTCCCGTCCACTGAAACACCAGCTGCCTTCATGTGCTGCCCTTTAACAGAGCTGCCTATCATGCATCTAAACAAACAAGTAGGGAAGACAGAGGGGAGATTGTTTGTCAGGGATGTGTCTTTGCGAGGGAGGAGCAGCAATATCTGCAGGAGGGACTGAGGTGAAACCCAACATCAAAGGCAAGAGGCTGTCAGCACATTTAACTTTACAGAAAACCTTCTCCTAATAAAAAAGGAATGACCTCGTTACTACGGACACTAACAGTTCCCAGGGGAACACCAGGAGACTGCTGCCTGCACTTTTAATATTCACTTTACAAACAAATGGGAAACCTTGAAATAATTTCGGTGTTGTTCTTGGCAAGTTGTTACAATACTGTGTCCTTATAAAAATCATTTAAGAATTTATGTAGTGTGAGTCTACTTTTCATCTGCTGCTTTTTGTTGCTATCAATCTCCCTCCCTCTCACTGCCCCAGTGCTGTGGGAAAGACCAGGATGCCCGTGGAATGAGATGCTGGTTGCCTCAGCAGGTTCATTAGGAGGCACTGTTAAGCTTGGCTCTGACTGCTGAGAGAGAGGGTCCATTTCTGGAGGAGATGTTTGAAAACTCTATCTGGACCTGGGCCACAGAGACCAAGTGAAGTCCCATCAGGAGGGTGAAGGGCAGGGGAAGCTTTGAGTTGCCGCAGAACTGGGGTAGGTGTGCAGAGGGGAGAGCCGAGCCAGTGAAGACTGGAAGGACCCTGATTGTGGAGCCCAGCATGCAGCCCTGGTGGGAAGTGGCACGAGGATGCAGTTTGGGCCAGTTCAGAGCTCTTCGCCTCTCAGCTTCTCCTGGCAGGAGTCACCATAGGCAATAATGCCAGGAAAACTAGCGTGGAACAAATCTGTGTCTCTTCCAAGCCTCTGTGAAAGCATCAGGGAGACAGAGAAAATGCTGCTGCAAACTGAAAGAGTACATGCTAAGTGTGAGGCTGTTCAGTCAGCCAAATACCTCTGCAAATTACATGAATGGTTTCTTTTCAAAGGCTAGGCTTTCTCCTCAAGTTACCACAGCCTGAGTGACCAGAAATCTTCCCCAGTGTTTCCTTGGTGTTACATTTGCTGTGTAGTACCTGAGGGAGGTTTGCAGAAATGGTTTCGCTGGCTCTTAGTGGGGAAAAATACTTTGTACTGGAAATAAGCACTTACAGATGATGCCTCAAGCAATTCAGTAGCAGTCCACAAACTCTCACCCACACTTAGCTGGTGTGCAGACTGAGTTCCCCTTCCTCTCCTGGCATCTGCCCATGTGTATGTGCAGTGTCAGGTCCACCCCAACACACCCATGAAAATGTAAATGTGCATACATATATGTAATTTAACTCCCATGTGCCTATCCATAAACACACATCAAAGAGCTTGTTTCTGTGCATGTCAGTATGTTCCTCCTGCTCATATAGGGCCATCCATTTGTGGTGCAGATTTGCTGCCAATTCTGACAGTCACATGCCACACAACTTTATGTCTTGGGTTCATCCCCTGTACAGCCAGCCGTGACACCAAACTGTGAGAAAAGCAGCTCATACTTGATTATCTGTTATTCACACTTTACCTGTTTCTCTAGATACTGCTTAGCATCACTTCATCTCAGACTTAGCTTGTCTGAGCTTGGTTTCTTTTTGACAACTGCTGCAAGGCAAAAGGCAAGTACCTGCTGTTCCTCTAGGCTTTCTAACAGAAGGAGGAAGTAAAAAAGATGAAAATGTAACGATGGTAAGTAGCTTGTGGGAATGACACCATTCACTGGTACTCTAGGTATCCAAGTACTCACTAACGAGCAATTTACAAAAGACACTGTTGAGTCATTTTGAAGGAAATCACTGAGTGCTGTGAGCAGGAGAGTGCAGACAGTTTCATGCAAGCGCGAGCTATTGCCCAGGAGCTGCCGACTGCAGTTGTGAGCTATGCAAGAACTACAAGCAGCTCTTTCCACTTCCACACTCTCCTCTCTGGATGTCTGGGAGCAGATGTTTGTTCACCCTCTGCAGAGTCCCACGAGTTGCCCACATTATGTGGGCAGAGCTAAGGCCGAACAGAGGTCTAAGCAAACTGGAATCTCTGTCTTCTACATCCAGGAAATGGTAAAGAATCTTTCCTTGTACCAACTGAATATCTCTAATAGGCATGTGGATTTAGCATTTTATTATCCTTATCTTCTTTCTTCACAAATATTAGAATGGTAATGGACAAAACCTGTTGTGACAGTTTTTCATTGTCAGTTTGTCATTGAAAACCTTGACTAAATGGTTCCTTTCAAATGCAGAAAAGATGCTCTTTAAAACAAGGCAGTAAGATCCAGGCAAACTCTGCTCCATTGCTACTTCTTTGAAGCCCAAATTTCACACAAAGTGGAACTGGAAGTTCTGTGTGCTTTGTAAAGATCTTAGAAATCTATATACCAAACACTAGAGGAAAAGCCAAATATTAATACAGAAAGATGGGCCAGATATCTCTTTGCTTGAATGATGTAAATAAGCTGTTCAGGGTAAGTGCGAAGGGAGTTGTCCTGTGTCAAACTTCAGAGACAGTAATACGAATCACTGAAATACTGTTTTGTAAAGGTCCTAGGCACTTCTACTAAATTGTACTTCACTGGAGTTTTCTCTTGACTTGTTTTGGTATGTTTACTTATTATTTGTTATGGCAAGTTTCATCTAAACACTAACAGAATTTTGAAGATGTTAATTAAGGAGGAAGATAGACCAAAGCACAAGTGCTCATTTGTGCACATGCCCATCTATTCCTAAATAATCCCACATGTGCTGGTGGTCATTTTGTCTTTGGTGGGACACATCATCACAGCTCAACCCATAGGTTCACATTATTGCCAGCAAGTGAAAAGTAGGACAGGGTCTTCCAAAGACCATCCTCATCAACTTCACTGGATTCCCAGATAGACTTTTACATGCACACTCTTATAGCACCTTCCAGTACCTAAATGGGCCTACAGGAATGCTGGAGACAGACCTTTAACAAGAGTATGTAGTGATAGGTCAAGGGGAAATGGCTTCAAACTAAAAGATGACAGGTTTAGGTTAGATATTAGGGAGAAATTCTTTACTGTGAGGATGGGGAAACACTAGAACAGGTTGCCCAGAGAAACTGTGGATGTCTCATCCCTGGACTTGTTCAAGACCACGTTGGATGGGCCTTTGAGCAACCTTGTCTAGTGCAAGATGTCTGTGCCTATGGCAAGGGGATTGGAACTAGATGATCTTTAAGTTCACTTCCAATCCAAATCATCCTATGATTTATGTGACCTAACCTGGAGCAAAGATACAGCTAGGCAGTGAATTAAAAACGAGCCACATATGTGTCCAGAATGTGCAAGTACAAGTGGTCATACAAAAGTCCAAATTCTAGACTGTGAGGAAGGTTGTAACTAGTGGTTCAAAGAGAATCAGTAGGAAATCTGGGGTCACTGTCTGGCTCTGCCACAGACTTCCTTTTTGTCCTTGCCTCATTCACTTAATTTTGCTATTCTCTAGCTAAGGCAAGGAGACAATAGTACCTCCTTAATGGTCTTATGAAGATCTCTTGAGACTTTGAAGAGAGAGGACTTGACTCCCTCTGTGTTTATATACTCCTGCGCAAAAGGGATTCCAGATTATAAATGCCTGGGTATGCTGCTGCAAGAGGGTATCCCTTTAAGAAACAATTAACAACTCATTCAAATTTTCTTCTGTATCATTTTTGAGTCTTTCTTTCTCTCTGACTGAAATGTTGCAGTTCAGTCACACACGTGGCCGAAGTTCTTTAGCCCTGTCAGCTGCAATTTTCAGAGAAACCTTTGCTGGATAATTCCCCATGAGGCTGGATGAGAGGACAGGTTTGTGTAGCTGTCTGCATTGGAGGATAATATTGCCCTCTTCCTTCTGATCGTCTGATGACTTTTGGAGTGTGGGACACTGAATAACCCAGCAGAGAGATATCACCTGTGAGCAAGGAGGTAAGAGCAAGTACTCTTGGTGAGATAATGTTATTCTCCGGACAATTTTTCTGCCTTTCTAGGTGGGACAGTGTGGCCTCTTTACCCCATCACTGGCTCAGTGCTCCGAAATTACACTAGTGTAATCATCCCACCTGAATTAAGCAAGTAACTCCTGGCTTCTGACTCCAAAATCCAGCCTTGGGTATCCCCTCTTAGGCTGATGCCTGCATTCCCCTCTTCCTCCCTCTCCCTTGAAGCCCCCTGCTTGTGGGCTCCTTGATATTTTCCAGTCCTTCCCTAATGAGCACTGCAGAATTACAGCTAATTAAGGATGTAAATGATGCTGGAGAGGGAGAGAGAGGGAGAGGATGGGAAGGGGCGGAGGGGGAGGGCAGCTACTTGCTGTGTGCAACTCTGCAGTAAAGTGTCTCCTACCTCAGCAGAAAAGTTGTCATGGGAGACAATGTCAACTTTACAGAGGGGGGGAGGGCCCTTTGCACGGCTTCATCCCTGCCTGCAATAACTGCCGCCTCTCCGTTATGTGTCAGCGTTGCAGATGCTGATGTCCTCCCTCCCAAATGCTGCTTTGTCAGCTGGTGCTGTCATCAAGCCCCGGTCTCCTTCTCTGGAACTTGCCACCACCCTCGCCCATGTGTCACCTGAGGGGTGAAGGGCTCAGAAGACCTCAAAACCTTCCCATTCTCTGGGTGAGCAACCTGTTGTGTCCCTCTTGCTTGCAAAGGGATTTTGAGTCAGGTCCACCTCCAGATTTAGAAAGGACACCGTTGTTCAGGAGGGGAGTGGGTTTTGGCCACTTCTCCTAGGCACTAGGGCACCTGCCTCTCTGAGCTGCCACCTGGTCCTCCGGCACTGCCCCCCGGGGGAGGATTAGGGCTAAGCCCCTTATCTCTGCAGTGGTGGCCAGTGACTGTGGCAGCACATCTTGGGGGGTGATGTGCTGGCAGCTGGAGCTGACAGCTCGGACCACACAACCCTGAGACACGTGGTTGCTCACACATGTGAGCTAGTCTGGTTTGCTTTAGGAAATGCTCCTGAAGGGAGCATTGGGGGCACTGGAGAAAAGCAGGGTTCCTCCAGCAAGAGGCTGCAAGCCCTCCACCCCACCAGCAGCCTTGGCTGGCAGCTCCTGCCCATGCCAGGGAGCCAAGAGTCAGCTGTCTGGCAGCCCTGCACTGGGGAGAGATGGTTCTGCTGGCGCTGAGCAGCTGTTTGAACCCATTCCAGTCTCTCTGGGTCCTCCCGAGCACATTTCCAAACACTCTGGGTCCCTGTTGGCGCATTTCTCTGCACGTTGCCCAAATCAATGAATTGCGAAGGGAGATTTGCCCCAGCCCCACAGCCAGTCCGTCTGTCTGACCCCTGCCTGGCTGAAGCAGGAATGCCCACCCCGGATCAAGGGGAGATGGCATTGGGTGGCAGCAACAGTGGCGATGGGTTTTGTTGTTGTTTCCCCAGAGCGCTGTGCAATATATTCCGATTTTTTTTCTTGTCATTAAGCCAGTGCCTCGGAGATGATGATGTAGTCCCTATGTGGGCCGCAGAAAGCACTTCGAGCCGTGCTGGAGTCGTGCTGGGTGGCTCTGATAGCAGAGCTAATGGGAGCGAATGGGATGCAACGAACTGTTCTAATGACACCAGCCAGGGAAGAGACAACAGTAAGAATAAATAAATGTTAACTATTTTCCTCTTCCAGACATTTGCATCTATTGCCATTAAGTTCATTTAAATAAGAGAGAGAGCAAGAGAGAAGGGGAAACTTACTACTACTCTTAATAACAAGTGTCTAAAAATAAATTAGGATGCTGGGATGCACTTAAGGCATTTTAAAAATAAGTCTGATTTTTTCCCCCTTTCCTCTTTTTTTTCAAGTGTTGGAGGGTTTTAATTTGGGCCAAGTAATTTTGGTGCAAACGCTTGGGCGCCTTTCGTTGGGAAATTGGGAGGAATGCAAACAAGATTTCACTTCATTAAACAGGGGCAAACAGTAGAGAAATTGCACTTACTTATGGAAATGACTTTTAAACATGAACAGCATTTACTTGCATTGCCTTGTGCTGAATTTTTTTTTTTTTTAAAAAAGATTATACATGTGAATAATTCACTGCGGGCCAATTAGATGATGATTTCATTTTTAACCTCTCTTCCTTGCCATCTTGCTGGCTGTCCCTTTCATTGCAATTTCCACCCTCTTCCTTCCCTTCAATAAATTAATAAAGATCAAATAATCCCTCTCCCTGTGGTGCCAAGAGCTAGCTTCTTTGAAAGGTTGTAAGGTGAGAAATCAGAGGATCACCATCACTGCTGAACTACCCTGTGATGCAGCAGAAATAACTCCATGGGATTTCTAGAAGCAGAGCTGCACCCATGTGTTCAGGAATAAGGAATGGGAGGAATGAAAAATGGACAGGAATGAAAGGTGGAGACAGAGTAAAAAAGATCTCCATGCTGTCTGCATGCAGAATGAGGTGCTGGAGAGAGGCTGAGCAAGCAGGATTTACCCTCTGTGAGGCTCCATTGATGCTGACAGGATCCCACCAGTGTGAGTTTACTCTGGCCAGGCTAAAAGCAGCAGTCAGATGGGTGACTCCATGGCATTGCTGGGGATAGAATGATGCCTGAAACTCTTCATCATCCCTCGGCCCAGATGCAGGCCAAAAAGATGTGGGGCCACTGCTTGAACCAGGGAAGAATGGGCTGGGATGTGAGAAGAAGCCAGAGAAGGCTAATTTTGACTTTTGCCGGGGCCTGTGGCAAGTGGACCTTACAGCAAGTGGATAGAGAGAGAGTAATCCATGGGGCCTCAATGTTTTTCCCCATCTAACAGATGTTAGAGATTCTTGCTGTTATTAATGCCTGTGTCAGGGCTTTTCCCAGCTTCCTGCGAAAGGCAGTCTGTGGGATTTCATGACAGCAGGATCTGCCAAAACTTTAAGGGTGCTGGGAGGAAGTTCCAGAAGATACTGGCTCCCTCTGGTCTCCACTTTGCTGCTTCTGCATTTCATCAGATGCCTGCCAGCTTAAAAGTGGCATTGGGAGACTCTGTCCATGCAGACCTCAGTCATGCTTATGGGAAGGCAATACCTGACCTAAAAATAGGGTTTTTTCCCCAAAAATTTTTAACTCCTGGAGCTCTTTACAGTAATTAAAGCATGTAATACAGAGCCTCAAAGCCTCTAAAAACATAATAAAAAATATATGTAATTAATTGTAAAAAATCAGCTGATCTACCTGTTTCTTTTCTTACTTCACTTTTACTTGTGTTTCTTATCTAGCTCTTAGGTCTCATTCCTACATATGACCCACTTTACACCAAATGTCACTGCCGTCTTCCTTTCATCTGCCCCAAAATGAAGGAGAAACTTTGGTGCCTTCCCAGCGAAACTTCCAATCCCCTGTCGCTGCCAGGGCAAGGGTAAATTGGAATATCTTCCCTCCCTGCATCACCCACAGCACACCTCTTTTCTTAGCTAAGCAAGAGGTTTTTCCCTGGTGCCAATTGGGTCACACTGCAGAAGAGTCGTTGCTGATGGGGTCTGTGCCAGTCCTGTGGGGTGAGTGTCTGCCCTGTCTTCTCCCCTTTACACGTGGGAAAACCGAGGCATGGAGCAGGTAGGACACCTGTTTGCTCCTGTATACCCTGGCCAAGCATAGGCAGCAGTGGGAGAGCTGGGACCCTGGTCAGAAGCAGGATTGTCCATAATTTGATTTCTTCTTCAGTTCTCATTTAAAAGTTTATTTTAATGAAGAGGATCTTCCTGAGAAGCTTCCCTCCACATGGCTGGTAGATGTCACAGCACCATGTCACCATTTTCCTCATCCCCGTCTCTGCTGTCTCTGAAGCCTTCACCATCTTCCTCCAGGAACTCCTTTCTTGCGCTGTCCCAGCCTCATTCCTCCAAACTGCTTCCCAGGATGTTTCATGGTCATTTTGTCAGTGTTTCTCAACAGATCAGATTCCCAGTCCTCCTGTGCTTCAGTGTTTTTATGGCTCTTCGCTGGTTACAGTTCTAAGGGGGAGGAGGTGGCTGCAAGCAATGACCTGTGATTTCCAGGGAAAGGGAGAGCAAGGAAACTTCAAGCAGCATGGCCTCCTGCTGGGAGCAGTCCCTTTTAGAGCCCTTGTGTCAATTATGGCTTTCAGAGACACTTACCCACTCTATTTGTTTACCCTGGGGAAGCTCAGCATGCCCCCTTCGGGGCTGAAGGCATGCAAATTCACTCCCGGAGCAATGGCACAAAGGTCTTTCAGTCTAGGCTTGAGAACTTTGCATTGCCTATTTCTGATTCAACCTACAGCATCAGGACCTAAGCTCTACAACGCAGGTTCTCCTTGCCTTAATAAAAAGGGTTTCACTTTCAGGCTCCTCTGCAGTTCTGTTGTACCTGGCATCCTCCAGCTGGGGCTGGAGCTGAGGAACACAGAGACAGCTGTGAGCCCATGTTACAACAGTCACTAATGCCTTAGTTCTGCATCTGATGCTGCCGGCTGTAGTGTTGAGTACAGGACATTTTCTAGCCCCACAGAACTGTTCCTGACAGCTATTCCAAAAAAACTCTAGCATAGACTCTTTTATCCTGGAATATCCACACTTAGAGAGTTATTCAGAGACATCCTCCTGAGAATCTTTGAGGAGAGATAAGCCCAGAAACTCCAACTATGAAACAGCATGTTGTGTGCTGAGCTCTCTCTGCAGGAGAGGTGCTTCCATCTGCTACACAACTCTTGAATTCAGGAATAGGACCCTACGGGCTGTTTGGTACCTCTGTTGACCTCAGCAGGCTTACCACCAGGGACAAGTTTAGCTCTATGCACTCATTGAACTGCTTCCCCTGAGGTACCTGTGAGGCTGAGAGCTGTCTGAGGTGGACACCCTCAGCAGTGGCACTTCAGCTGCAGCACTTCACAATGGGCACTTTCTGCTGATCTGCTTGTGCAGCACCTGGAACTGGGGGACAGTAGAGGGTCCTGAGCATCCCCATGCCCCATGAGAGCCATGGGGGTCATCTGCTGGCAAGGCAAAGCAAGCCAAAGCAAGGCAAGTTCTCTCTTCTCTCTGAGGTCAGGAAGTCTTAGGCTGAGGAGGATTTCAGAGGTTATTGGTGTATCTGACTCAGAAATGAGCTTTGTTCCTTTCTTCAGCCTCCTAATGACAGACTCTGTCTCTGGGCACTGAATCAACAACCTCAGGCAGAGGTGAGGAAGTGTCAGACATTTTTATTGACATTCCTGCTGACACTCTCCCTTCAGACATTGCATCCCTGGGGTCTGGAAAGTGGAAGGCTGGGCTCCCTGGACAAGGGTCAGAGAAGATGCTGGACTGAGGCTGCCCAGCAAGATTTCTACCTACAGCTGCAGTTCTTGAGGTGATCCATCCCTTGCTTCCCATATGGGCTCTACAGAGAAGAAGCAGCAGTGGTGGAGTGCTGATGGCATTGGAGAGCTGCTGGTCATGCTGCCAAATACCATCAGGTCTTGAAAGCTTGGCAGCATCCCCTGTGTGACTTATGTAATTCTTTTCTAAGTCCAGCAGGTGTAAACCTTGAAGTGGGGTAAGCACATCCATTTCACCTCCTAATATGGTAGAAGCCATATTATTAAGAACTGGCTGAAACATGACATTTTCCACAATGAACTCCAAATGATGTTCAATTTGGGCAGAACAGGGACAGTTTCCTCTCACCAAAATTTTTATGAGAGTTTATTTTTGATAACAGATGAAATATCCTTCCATTAAACAAAAAAACTCCTTTTATTTATCTTTAAAAAGAATTTGAACTATTGATAGGTAAGGAAAAATTATTTTGGACATCTTTTCTGATTTATTGTGTTTAAAATATAAATGCAGAGTATGTTTCTGGAAATTATCTTCCATTGGAGAAAAACCAAAGTCTTACAGGGCTATGTAATAAAGCAGAAATATTTAAAGCAAAGGGGAAAAAAAAACCCCAATGTTTCTGAAAGAGTTTTGGAAGGAAACATGGAAAGTGTAAATTGGTAAATGTAGAAATCTTCTCCTGCCTTTCAATTCTCAAAATCTAGAGCAGGGAGACTTTGGATATCAGAGACTCTTTGCTTTATAGGAATGATAAAACCACAATGGTACTGTGCCCTCATAAGGTGTATCAATTCACATTAGAGAAGCATACAGACTTTGAAAAATGCATTTTATCTTCCCTTTCTTCTCCTCCTTCCAAAAGACAGATCGATTTCTTTGTCTGCTTTGCACGAGTGTGAGGACGCCAAGACACGGAGATGGGAGTGGTCTTGCCCAAGGTCACACTGCAAACAAATTATCATGGCAAGAGTCACTCATAGGTTGCTGTGAGGAACAGCAAAGGAAAATGTGGTCCATCATCATATGTTCCACTACCATCATGGTACTGGTTTCAGATCTGCTCTGTGAGTATCAAATTGTCTTGCCATCTCTGACAAGCAGACGAAACAGAGAAAGAGGCTGGTCCAAACTGACTTCTGCTGCTTGCAAAGAGAGAAACTTGGGGTGTCACTGGCTGTAGATACCTCATGTTTTTGAGAAGATATTACAAATTGTGGCATGTGCATCATGTGGCTGTTTTTTCCTGATCTTAGGGTCATGTGCAAGGAAATAAGTAAGTGGTAGGAATGACAACAGGAAAAGCAC